AGCTTAAATGCTCCGTTCTGAGAGATGCTTCCCCAGCCATTTGATCTAAAATAGCCAACCAATCACATCACCCATGCACATAGTATTGTTTTCAGCATAGTCCTTTATACAAGAACATGTTTTTACGGTTTGTTCATCTGTTGTCTTTCTCCACTAGAAAGAGCTCCACAGGGGCAGAGACCTGTCTTTTGTCTTGATATTTTCACTGCGCTCCGTTCTGAGAGATGCTTCCCCAGCCATTTGATCTAAAATAGCCAACCAATCACATCACCCATGCACATAGTATTGTTTTCAGCATAGTCCTTTATACAAGAACATGTTTTTACGGTTTGTTCATCTGTTGTCTTTCTCCACTAGAAAGAGCTCCACAGGGGCAGAGACCTGTCTTTTGTCTTGATATTTTCACTGCTGTGCCTCCAGCAATGAGAACAGTGCCTGGAACATAGTAGGCACTCAAGTAAATTGTTGAATGAATCAGTGAATATTATTCTGACATGTTAGCAGTATATATTCCAATTACTGTGCTATCCAGTGGGTTATTCCAAAGAATGGTTGTAGACAATGCTGGATTACTTTTACATGGCCGAAACAAAGTGTTTAGTTTCTCTCTCTCCATGTTTTTTTTTTTTTTGAGTTTTTCAGTAGTTATGCCTTCATTAGTAAAATAGGAGGAAATAACTTGGGCTAATTTATGTGCTTACTGCTTACCAGCAAGTAATAAGCATAATAATATGTACCAGAGACTGCTTTTGAGTTAGATAATATTATTCCCAGTCTTACAGAACTGGAAACAAAAGTTCAGGGAAAGGTTAAAATGATTTTCTTGAGATATCTACCAAGTAAGAACAGTGGTAAGATTCAAAGCCAGATCTATTCTATTACAACACTCAAAATCTCTTTATTGCCCCATATTGCCTGAAAGATACTGGAAGTTATAGATGTTTCATGCTAGTCAGAGGTAAGAGCAACTTTTGTTTTTTACAAAGAGGGCACTTCAGCCCATTCTGTTGTAGATGTACCACTTGTATTAGCCCTATGGTTTTTCCGTAGTACCATCTACTCGGGGCATTTGAGAGCAGGTTTTAGGGTAAACAATACTGACAGCATGAATTTCTCAACATACTCCGTAACATTACAGCAGTAATTCTTACTGAGGTTGAGGATCCAGCCCCCTTAAGAACATATGAAAGATAGCTACCATTCCCATGCGTTGTCCTAACTTAAAGCTCTTATTTCCTCAGTGCCTTTTGCCAGGTCGAGAATGTGTCTCATTTGGATCACTTTTTCGACTTGTTCTTTCAAAGAGCACTGCAGCTGGCCAAACTGCATCGCAGTGCCAGCCCCAACATACAGCGGTATGAGACCTCTAGTGCAGTACTTCTGGATAATCTCCCTGGAGTTCGGTGGCTCACACTTCCACAGGAAATCAAGGTAATCTTAGAACTCATAAATAAGAATCAGAACCAGTTGCTTTGTAATTCTTTAGCTTCTCTTTTTTCTTAAGCTTTTTGTTACTTTCTAAATAGAAATTAGCTCTCTTACCTAACACTAACATTTAAGCTTTGTCCAAACTTGGAATACTTTTGAGGCATTATAATTGTGTGATGTATCTTACTTTGGAATTTTGTGACTTTGATTTTATAACTAAACATCCTTGAGTTAGGATTATGTTTCTATATAAATTAAAGACAGATGAAATCATTGGCTAATAAACAATATTCTTAAAGTACATATCTCCACTAATAGCAAAATCTTTCTGTATATGAACATATGTAATTAGCCTTTGCCTTGTCCCCTAGATCTAGCTTACCCAGAGTGGTCATCAATGTAGTTTTAGTCATATCTATAGACCCAGAATAACTTTACTGTTAAATGACTGAAAAGATCATTTCAGACATTTTCATCACCAACAATCTATTTAGCCACAGCATTTGGATTAGTATTAAATGAGGCACTATGACATAGCTTGTTCCTTGCTCATGAAGAAACCCAGGCTGTGTTGTACTAAAAACCCCCTTCAGGGTTCTACTCTTCATTAAATTATTTAATGTATGATCAAATAAATGCTTTTGTGACAGTTTAATAATCATTTAAACTGTTTTATCAGTTGTTCTGCTTAGTTTCCTCATCTGTAAAATGGGGACAATAATAGTACCTACCTCATACAGGAGTTAGTTGTTGTTCCAGGTAAAGAGCTTAGAATCGAGCTTGGCACATTGTGGTCATAGTTACAGTGGTGAGAGTTCATTATATAGTTTTTAGTTGAGGGATTAAAACATGTTTAGAGGAAACTTTACCTTCTGGTATTTCTACTTTGTCCTTGCCTTTGTCAACTGCCCACTGCTGCAACTTTTGATACCACATGCCAATGATTATCGTTTTCTTAAATTATGTAAAAACTAAAAAGTATGAGATATATAATTCTACCTTCACCAGTGTTTTCATAAAAAAAAATAGTAAATATTCAATATAGACAAAATAAATAGATAACTCTACCTTTAAGATAGAAAGACTCTGGCTCCGAAGTGTGTCTCATGCCCACTTTGTTATCTTTTTACTTCTGAAAGACACAAAGCCGATTCTGTGAGTCAGAAGGTGCCGTCTCGTGAGGCCTTGCTATTCTGGTCTTATAGTGCCCAGGTTCTTTCCCCCGTCTCAGAACCTCCTTACTAAAGACATCTCTTAGCGCAAAATATGTAGTCTCTCCTTTCCATGAGAATGGAGGTGCTTCGTGTGATTTTTAGGGGTAATGTCTTTAGACTTTGGATATGTTAAATATTATCTTCCCCCTAAGAAGTTTGTGATATTTTAAAATGCAGCCTAATTTGGTCTTCTGAATTCCACATGAAGGCTACCTCTTATATTCAGATTTCTTTTTCAATGGCATTTTTTTTCTTAATTTAGCTTAACATTTGATTAAAAGCATAGTATGCTTTATCCTAAAGAATATCAAACTGAGAAATTACTCTGTGAATCCTCGTGTATATTTTTTAATTTGTTGCTTCAAATCATACCAGTTGCTTATCTTACCAAAGCTTTTGTTGCTTTTACCCTTAAGTCTAACACTACTGTATGGAGATCAGTCAGTCTTCATTGTGCCAGATACTCAGATCTGTTATGCTTTGGAAAATCCAGAGAAGTCCTCTGGATGCTCACAGTTCAGTTGGATAGGTGGAATTAATACACAGGAAACAATGAGGTTATAGCTTACAGACGTTTTCTATATTTTGTAATCTGGTTAGGAAAATTCAGAACCATTATTTTTGGAAAGGAGATAGATACCTTCTACAAAGTGATCTAAAAGTCTCTGATAAATGCAAAATTTAAAAACCGCATAACCCTCGAAATTTTTGTTTTTGTTTTATCAGAAAACTCAAAGAACGTATACACTTTCTTTTTCTCTTTGAGATTGATTACTGTGTTAAAAAATAGTAAGGTTTATTGACTATCTTCTAATGGAAATTAAAGAATTGTATGCCTTAAGGATGCTAGTTAAAAACATATGTGTGAGGTTACTTGTGCTTGATAAATTTTAGGTGGAGAGAGTTATTTTCAACTTGGGGGGAAAAAAACTTGTTCTGAGTTTAGTATATGAGGAGATCTTCGGTTTTCTTTTCCAGATGTTTAAGAATTTCTTTGTCAGATGTTCTTTTTAAAAAAAAAAATCATTTTTCCTAAGGCACACTAGAATAATTAAGAGAAAAGATACTTTACCTTTTCTCTTAAGGAATATGAAGAAACATTATAGGCATCTTGTACATTAGTCGGTAGAGTTCTGTAGCAGGAATAGCAACCCATTAAAGAGTAACATTTCTGAAATCAAAAATCACAAGTGGGTAATTTTCTTTTTGTCCTGTAGTTTTTCATAAGAGAAACTATAGACGGAAAAAAAAAAAAGAGAGAGAGAGAATATGAACTGCTTGCTAGCTGCAGAAAAATGTAGGTCACAAATGAGGAATAAGTCATACTGTGTGAAAAGCATTGAAAGGCATGACTAATGTTTCCAAAGCTTTTGTCATCTCAGTAAGACACAGTTTGTGAAAATCCTGCAGAGAGTCAGGGAGTGCCTTGGAGTAAAAAAAAAAAAAAATCAGAAATATCGCATATGCTATGAATTTTAATGGCCAGTAGTTTTCAGTTTATGTATATGCATTATAGATTAAACTGCAGATTAAATTTGTTTTTAAATTGTGAATATTTTAGAGAGGAAAAAAATGTATGAAGGAGTTCAAGCAATTTCCATAGAAACAGCAGCTAAATCCTTAGTAAAAGATTTTTCTAATAACTGTAACTCTGTAGGGTAGTTAAACTGTGCCAGATTCCAGGGGAACACTTGCTTTCAATTTTTAATCCATGAATAAAGAGTAACAGTCCTTTTATACAAAATATAGAAGAGAGGGGAAAATGTTGGTATTTTCCAAGAATTCATCTGTTGAGAAATGTACAGGAAACAAAAACAACTCAAAGTAGATTGGCTACATCAAGATTGATTTTTTTTCTCTTTAAGAATTTTAATACATTAAAAATTTTCTAACTTAAAACTGAAAGCAGTTTTTAAATCTCATCATTCTGCATGTAATAGAGTGAAGCCCATTTTTGCAATAATTGAGAGTTAATTGAAAAATGCCTATATGTTAAATAAATTAATTTTTTTGCAATTGCAAAGGTTAAAAACAAGATGTTCCATTTTGGGACATTTCTTAAATAGCTCAAAGAAAAATATTCAATTCTTTCAGTAATTATTAAGTACTTTTGTATGGCCATTATTAAAAACTAATAAGAGTTCAATATTTGTTACTTTTTTCCTCCCACATAGATTGAATTAGACATGGCATTGAGTGACTTGGAGGCTGCAGATTTTGCAGAACTGGTAAGAGAAGCAGTAAATTTTAGGAGAGAATCAATGTTGAGTTCTCATAAATCAGTCATTATTCCAAATATTTTCCAACTGGGCATGTGAGAATCTTGAAATACATAACATTAGGTCTCTATTTTGACAAGGACAAAATCTATTTTGCTTAAGATTTTCTACTCAGTTAAAAATATTTGTTACATAATGTGTATGTAATGATTAATTACATTAGTATCATTAAGGACTGGGCTTTGAGAGAAAGGACATTCATGTAATATTGATTAAATTTAAAAAAAAACCTGTAGATCTGAATTTAAATGGAAAGTATCAGTATGGTTTTTAATTTTTTAAAAAAATATGTTTCCTAGTTCTGTCCAGTGAAAGGCTCAAAAAGAGTGACCATCCCCAGTAGTGACAAGCACCACTAGCACCCAGGTCATGGTATATAAATAATACAAGATTCCTAAGAGTAATGGCTGATTCCAGATTCGGGCCTGAAAACATGCAAGATAAGCCTGGCAACATCTCATTATATCAGAAACCCAGGGAGCTTTCAAAAATTACTATGATTAATGTAGGGTTCAAGTAACCAGGAGAAAACTTAAAGAGGCTCCCAGTTGAGCATCTATAAAGAAAATAACTGCAAGAGATTGAAATACATCAGATATGTATAAGTCCATGAGTTTATAATGATACCAAAGAAAAAAATTTCTTCGTCAACTTGGGAAGATGCTACTGAACTTGTTACTGTGAAACCTGGTAACTAAGGAGGAAGAATCACACATTTATCTGCCTTTCCTATCTGAACCATACCTCAAGGTTATCAGAGATGAGAGGGGGTTCTCTTTATGAAAGTGGTCTATCTAATGTATCAAGAAAGAATGACGGAATTGGAATATCACCATTTTGCAATCCCCATAATGAATTAATGGGTCTAAGCAATGTTCATTAGTAGCTGTTAATATCACACACACACACACACACACACACACACACACACACACACAAACAGACAGAAAGTATGTGACTCCTAATGGAAGTACACACAGAACCTATGAAATATACTTGAACAGGCCTCAAGACCTAACTGCCAGTTTGCAGGAAATACCAGGGGGAAAGGGACATGTTTGATGACCCCATTGGGGATGAGGGACTGCAATCAGCAAAATCCTGAATGTGAAACACAATAGGACAGTTTCTTCAACAAATAAATTAGAAGGGGGATGGGAAGAAGTTGAGAGAGAACCTATCAGTTTTAAGAGACTTAAGAAACATATCACCCAATTTCAGTGTATAGACCTTTCTTGGCTCCTGATTCAAACAAAATTAAAAAAAAAACCAAAAAACAAAAAACATCTGTGAGGCAATCAAGTAAATGTAAACACTGATAACTGGTTATTAGGTGAGAATAATTCTTTAGATGTGGTATTGGTATTAAGTCCTGTTTTAGAGATACATTGAGTATTTATAGATGAAATACTGAATAAGATCTGGAATTGATTCTGAAACAATTCAGCAGAGAGAGAGAAGGAGTGGGGTAGAGATGAAACAAGATTAGCTATGTACTGGTCATAGCTGAAGTGGATGATGATGGACACATAGGAGCTAATTATATTATTCTATTTTTGCATATGCTAAAATTTCCAGTAATACAAGTTCTTTAAAAAGTAAATGGGAAGTTAGAAAGTAGAAGCCATGAGGGCTAGATCATTCTAAGACTGCTGGTGAAAGTGGGGGGAGGATGTTAGCTTGAAGGGGTAGCTAAGTTTTAACTAAGATTCTGAGCAAATGGTAGGGTGTTTATAAAAATAACTGAAATTTATGTATGGTGAACTTTTCATTGGTCATAAATATTTTCACCAATGGAGAATGTTTAGATAATACTCATCATTATAAAGTATATAAGTTTTAGGAACTTATATCTGATAAGTTAATTAAAACTCTAATTCTAATCATTATAAAGTATATGGGTTTTAGGAACTTTTATCTGATCGGTTAATTAAAACTCTAATTCTTGCTTTTATAGAACATCATTTTAATGAGCAGTGGAACTAGCAATATTTTCTGTAAAGGCCCTATTGGATTTCCTTGGATACAACATCAAGACACAATCCATAAAAGAAAAAAAAAATGATCAATTGAGAATATAAAGTAGTACAATTACTTCGCAAAGCAGTTTGGCAGTTTCTTAATAGCCTAAACATACACTGACCATATGATTTAGACATTCTATTCCTATCTATTTACTCAAGAGAAATGAAAGCTTATGTTAATACAAAGACCTGTACACAAATGTTCATAGCAGTTTTATTTGTAATAACCAACCAATCCAAATAAGTGTCCATCAACAGGTGAATAAACTAATTATGGTATATTCATGCAATAGGATACTACCCAGCAAAAAACTTGGTGGTGGTGTTGATGGAACTGTCCTATATCTTGATTTTGGTGGCACTTACATAGCTGTACACATTTCTCAGAACTCGCAAAACAATTCACAGTGAATTTTACCTTAATTAAAAAAATGAAAATAAGGATCTGTTATAAACTTTTCGTGGAATTAGATTTGACTTAATCTTATATCCTAATTTTGTTTTCTTTAGTTTTTAAAAATTAAGGTATAATCTACATTCTTCTATGCCTGTTTATTGTCAGTTCCTCTCTCGACCCCCAGCCCCTGGCAACCACTGATCTGTTTTCTGTCTCCATGGTTTTACCTTTTCTGGAATGCCATGTAAGTTGAATCATGCCGTAGGTAATGTTGGAGGTTTGATGTTTTGACTTAGCATAGTGCATTTAACATCCATTCATGTCAGTGTATGGATCAGTAGTTCGGTCCTTTTTATTACTGAGAAGTATTCCATTGCATGAATGTATCACAGTGTTTATCCATTCCCCAATTGAAGGATACTCAGATTTCCAGATTTTAGTTTTCTTTAGGTTTCATTGTGTTTAATTATAAAAGTAATGCATGCATACTGGATAAAAATGCAGGTATGATTACTGGAAACAAATATCTTCCCTCCTCATCCCTCTCTCCAGTTCCATGCCTATTTGTTACCTGTTCTTATAGTTTGGAACGTATGCTTCCAGACCTTTTCTATACACGTATGTACCCACATACAAACCAACATCCATGTATATATACATACATGTGTATCACTGGGGTGCTATTTTTAACAACTAGATCATAGTGATATTTTGTTCTGCAGCTTGCATTCTTTGCTGAACAGTATAACCTAAAACCTTTTGTGCCTGCTCATATAGATCAACCTTATTTTTTAACACAAATAATTTCATTAACCATTCTCTGTTGATGAACTTCACTTTATCTCCATTTCTGCATATTACAAATAATTCTATAAACTTTTTACACAAAAAATATTCTGCCCTTATTTCTGAAGATTTCTAGAAGTGGATTTACTCAAAGAGTATATATACTAATTATTATTATTATTTTTTTACATATTACTCAGTGGTCCCCAAATAGGTTCTATCAATTTGTACTTTCAAAAATAATATATGACAGTATTGGATATTTTAGATGATGCAGAGTGCTGAAGCTTGAGAGATTTGTTTTAATCTTTCTTGGTGTAACATCTTATATTTATTCTCAGATGTTGCTAATCAAGTTTCTTATAAGAATCAAAAATGAGACTTAGTCAAATAGATGCGCACCTTCTCTTTCATCCTAACATCCTAATATATTGATTTCTAACAAAGGCACTATGAAAAGTTCAGGCACTGAAGAATATAATTGCCATTTTAACTATTGTTGTAGCTTAACTAGGATTTTTAAATCCACTGTATTTTTCTCCCCCAGTCCGAGGATTACTATGACATGAGGCGGCTGTATACGATTTTAGGATCATCTCTATTTTACAAGGTAAGTTGAAGGTAAGTTGAGACTTTTATAAATGTACAACTCTCATATGAACTGACCTACAGTAAATTTCCTCAGACTTTTACAAACATGAAAACTACATCTATCTCTTTTTCTCTGAATGTAGGTTCCCTAAAATTAAGATCTTCGAACAAGATTTGTACCTACATGTTGACAAGTACCATAAATATATTTTTGGTTTCATTACATTCTAAAGCATTTATAAATGTATTAAGGAGAAACTATACTCAAGGAACCAAGTGAGAAAGGAAAGCAGTACTTCTGATTTCCTTTTGCAGCAGTGTGCTTGTTCCTTATCTTCAGACATAACCGTGCATCTTTTTAATCTTTTAACATTAAGTAGTTAAATTCTACGTAAAGCTAGTTAAACATCAAATAAATTTAAATATTTTAATTTTCAAAAATATTTTAAAACAATTTGAAACATATCTAAAAAGGAATCAAACAGTATAGAATGGTACATAGTGAAGTCTCTCCCCACTTCAACATCTGATTATCCACTTTCCATCCTCAGAATTCAGTTCTTTTCTAATTTTTCCATTCAGTCTTATACTTCTCAGAGGTGATCTTGCTTTGTGCTTAAGTCTGTGTGTTACAGACTTAAGTTATCATAAATATTTGATCTCTAGTTGACCACAGGCATTTATTTTTACTGTCTTCATTTATTCCATTTGAAACTCTTATATTTTAAGCCTATAAAACTCAGATTATGGGATTACTGCTTGATTATCACGTTGACTTTTGTTATTTGTGTTTAAATTCAAGGGTTATTTGATATGCAGTCATTTGCCTAAGGATGATCTTATTGATATTGCTGTATACTGTCGTTACTATTGCCTACTGCCTCTAGCAGCAAAACAAAGAATTGGTCAGTTGGTAATATGGAGAGAAGTGTTTCCTCGATATCACCTTCAACCTTCTGTAGACTCAAACACTGAAGTCTTTCAGGAACCTGAAGGGAGATATTTTTTGCTAATTGTTGGCTTGGTAAGTATATGTTGGCTTCTCTTTTTTTGCCATTTACCATCTAAATAAATACACAGATATGACAATTTAAAATTATAAGTACGTTAAATACCAGTATTCAAGAAAATGTTATATGCCCCCTTTCTTTTGCACCGATTTAATACTCAGAGAAATATTAATGAAACCCAGGATACGATTTTAGCATGTTCTTAAGATCTTTTGTTCTCATTTCCTCTGGTTTGTTTTGGGAAATAGAGGAAAACATGCAAAAAATACAGAATCAGAGTAAATATGTGACTGTAAGTGAAAGGACTTCCAATAATTGATCCCCTTTGAAAGTGACTTTAGGGAATTCCATGTGCTAAATGTAGTGGCCTATTGGTATATCAAGATAAGGCAATATGAGATTTGTTTTCAAAGGTGATCAGGAAGCATTGAGAATAACTGAGAGTTTTTAATAAACATCACATGGTTATGCCATATGCCCATATGTCTTTAGTATTCATCAATTTATACATGCATATTGCATATAAATATCTTCATGTAGCTAAATCTATATTAATAACTTTTTTCTTATAGAGGTATTATATGCTATGTGTACTATTAGAAGCTGGAGGCTGCACATCCAAAGCTATTGGAAATCCTGGACCAGACTGTATATATGTGGATCAGGTCAAAACAACTCTTCACCAGCTGGAAAGAGTAGATTCCCGCATAAATGAACGACTAACATCTTCTCCAAGTCCCTGCTTGTCTTGTGCTGACTGGTTCCTTGCTGGGTCACATGAAAAATTAGATGGGCTGACAACCTCACCTATCCTCAGTAGGCTACAGAGTACTTCCAAAGTAGCAACCTCTCCAACCTGCAAAAGAACTCTTTTTGGTGACTATTCCTTGAAGACACGTAAGCCCAGTCCTTCCCAAAGTACTGGAAGATCTGAAAGTGGTTGTGACGCTAGAGAAGGTGTTGGCCCAAGCCCCCATTCTACACTGGATGCCGCATGGAAGCAAAGAGAATCTCAGGGCTCTGATGGTTCAGAAGAAAGTCAGGCCTTGCTTAAGGTATGTGTTCATTCAAGCGTGTACATTCTGAGAGCTAAGCTGTCTTTCCAGTCCTTATTGTATTACTGCAAAGAATTTTTAATCTAGTAGATCGTTCTTAATTTGAACTGGTGGTTATGGTCACTGTTCAAAAACTAATGATTTCGAACCAAACAGAGGAAGAAGTATCAAGTAATAAAACAGTAGCCACTTAACATCGAGGGCATCTGCTTAGCACTACTTACAAGTAGGGAAACTTTAATCCTGCTCTTCCCTGTTCACCTCTTTCTTTATTCACAATGTTAACAGGGAACAGCCTAGCTGTGGGGCATTTAGGGGGCTAATCTGACTAAACAGTCAATAAAATGTTCAGTGGAAACAGAATCAGAAACTTAAAGTGTGTATGTTATTTTTTTATAGTTTTTTTTTACCTGCACCTGTGAAGTTCTGTCTCCAAACTCAAGAATTCAAAATGTGACTATTAAGCAAAGAGAATATTCATGTTTCAGATTGCTTATTTATCATTTTCTATGTTTTCTCCCCATGAAAACACCATATTATATACAAATGATTATCAAATGATGACAGCACACTGCTGTCATCACCCTGGGGGGGTGTCTACTTATTCTTGATGCTGCTCTTTTGAAACATTTTTGAAAGTTGTCATTTTAGGTAGATGGAAATGATGCCAGACAAAGCATGAAGATGGAGAAGCATGAGAAAGGGCAGGACTGAAATATGAGATTTGAGTATCATGGCTTAAATAACCATAGATTTGATCTCCTAATTCCAAACAACAGAGTGCTCTTGGAGCCTAATTGGATGTATTTAGGAAATACTAACACCAGTATTATATTTATTATCCCAGTTTGTGAAATTGGTAGGAAATATAGTTTAGGATGATTTGGACAGAATTAAGGAGCCATGAACAGCTCCTAAGAGAAAGTGAATTTCTAAGATTTAACCATTCAACAAATGTTGATTGAATATCTATTATGTGCCCAGGGCCATGCTACACAAAGGAGATACAGAGATGAATAAGATACAGCCCCTGCCTTTGAGGAGTACAGTCTAGAGAGGAAGACAAGTACACATACATATAAATTAGGACAAAACTTGGTAATGGCTCCATAATGGCTCTGGTAGGAGGTTTTCAGATCTATCATGTCCTCTGATTACATGGCCCTGGGATCTCTGTTAGCAAAGGATAAGTCAAGAGGCACAAGTGAGCAACGAAAATATTTAAAGGTATCATTGGAAAATAGTAAGTACTTCTCTTAGAAGGATAGTTTTTATATTACTTCTGCTGTTTGATTCCATTCTTAGATATAAACTGATCTACTTAACTATATTTTTCAGATGACTAAAAAGAAGTCAACTCTTCCAAATCCATTTCATTTGGGGAACTTGAAAAAGGACCTTTCAGAAAAAGAATTGGAAATATATAACACAATGAAGTAAGGAGCTTCCTTATAATATAATATCCTTTTTTACTTAAACTCTGCCTTCGAGGAAATTTTACAATGAGAAATTTTAAGTCCATAACATAAAGAGATTTTATTCAACAATTATAATTATGGTATATATTTCATATTGAAGGTAATATCAATGCTGTTGCTCTAATGTTTTTTATTATGCAATAGGAAAGATATTCCTATTGAGATAAAAAACAAAGTAGTATCGCAAAATGTGAAAGCCCCCCTTTCTCTCTTCTTCTCAAGTAACCTTCATTTTGTATGCCTAATTTTTAAATTAGAGTTTACTATTTTTAGACTCTGGTGGATGCTTTGGTGTGCTTCCCAGATACTCCTTAGCCCAGGGTGCTTATTCTCAGTGCCTAGCATGGACAATCAAGGCAGTATCAAGGTTAAAAGCTGAAATATGCCTTTTTCTTTCCTCTGTGCTTATGGCTGGAAAAATCAACTGAAGGAATTTGTTAGTACGGATATTAGAATTAGAATGGGGCAGTTCGAGTATCTGAGATGCAGATGGGAAATTGCTCTCCATATATTTAAAGATTGCCAATAAGCAGTCAGCAGTAGAGAGGAAAAAGCAAAGCACCATGCAGCAAGCTGCAGACAGATAAACTCTGCCACTTAGCTATGCGACCTCAAGCAAGTTACTTAATTCCTCTGAACACTGACTTCCTCATGGATAAAAAAGAAGATAATAATATTTAATACCTTGCAGGGTCATTATGAGAATTAAGACTAAGGTATTTAAAGCACCTATCCTGGCACATAGAGGATATTTAGTATATGATTATTATTATTATTGCTGTTATTGTTGTTCTCTAGCTCTGCTTACTGCTGGTAGAAATAAGCAGCAGTATTTATAGGCTCTGCTGGCCTGAGACCT